ATTCTTCCAAATCTGGTCTGATGAAGAAACAAACTCATCTACATATTGGATGGTCTGAGGGTGAGTAAATTTCCAGCAAATTTTCATTTTTGGTTGAACTATTCCTTTAAGGTGCTATTTCTGACCTGAACCTTAAAATGACTTTTGTTGGTGTATGCCAATGTAGTCTGGTTGATTCAGTCATATTAATTCATATTTCAGATTTGACTAAAATAAATTAGAAGTTACTACACAAAACACATTTTAGGCTACCAGACAAAACACTTTACAGTGCCCAGAGATCAGTGAAAATATGTGTAGACTTCATAATAATACAATTCTGTCAACAAGTAAGAAGCACATACTCTTATACAACTGCAATTACATTTAGTTTAAATACAACGAAAACAAAAGAAGTCCCAAGATTTAACCCTGAGGTACACCACAAGTTAATGGTACCATAGAGGAAGAAAACAATTCCAACCTCCACCAAAAATCAGAAAGATACCAGAAATTTAAACCATGGTCAATGGTGTCAAAGGTCAAGCTTTTTTACACTGGGTTTTGTATCATTGTAGTTTTAATAATGTATGTGCTTTCTTGTTGGTTTTATTATTTGTTGTTTTATTTGTCAGGATTTATGTACAGCACTTGGGTCGGCACTGGCTTTTTTTAATGTGATCTAGAAATAAATTTGCCTTGCCTTAATTTTGAAAACTAAAAAGTATGTCCTTCAATAAAGAGTTCATGATCATATTTGAAGGGGATCTTGGTATAATGTGTGATCGTGTGAATATTTGATATTGTGAGGTAGTAATGATGTAAAATGGTCATGACATTTCTTACTTTTTTTGGATAAAAAGTTGGACTTGCTAATACAAGTTAACATTCAATTTCCTTTGATCTGAGTTTCTGAATTACAGTTTGCAAAACACTGACTGATTTAGTAATGACACCTAATAAAGCTACTCTCAGATCATGATGTATATATCCAAAAAATGAAAGGAACTTCTGATCTTTTTTACTATAACTTCTAACAAAGATGTGCTTCTTTGTCACTCTCATTTACATCATAATCAAATTGAAACTTAATTGTTCTGTAAAATGCTTGGTGTAATCTAGTATTGGTCAATGGCAGCAGTATAGAAGACAATCCTTTCTTATAAAAATACACATTTT